ATTGATAAAAGTTCTTGGAATTATTATGACTGAACAAAACTACTAACAGCTTATATATAAAAACTTCGTGAAAAGATATTACAAAAACATGAAAACAATGAGTCTATTGGCACATTTAATATATCAATGAAAAATCTTCATTGTGTCAAAAAAACAAAACTAGTAGAAATATTATCCATAAATGCATTTGTAATAAGATTATTATCAAAACATGCGCCCCTAATAGTATTTTTATAAAAGTAATAATATTATAATGTTTTCCTAACATTTTTAAAATTGTTATCTGGGGTGGTTTACGTATTTAATTATATAGTTAGAGGTGTAATACTCCGTTAATTAAGTTTTATTCTTTTATTTTAACTGAAACTTAGCGAAGATCATTCTAATACAGAATTGGGATTTCATAACTATTATGTTAATCGCAAAGATAGGAGTATATTGACTAGTACTGCTGGTAGAGGTTGTGGTAGCGGTACTTTTGCATAAAGATTTATCTTCCATGGCAATTGTGATTGAACATGATAATATTGACCAAATGTCTGTTCATTTTTAAATAATTTAAACATTGAAAGTTATTATTGGATCATGTTATTTACGGATGTAACTACTTAACAGTTTCAGCAGTATATTATCTTTCAATACAAATAATTAAAGAAATTTTTGTTGAGTTTTTCCAAGTTCTAGACGATTGATTAATTACTGTGGTGAAAATGTAACTTTAGATGTTAAAGGTTATGAGTAATTTTGATTAAGATCAAAATTTAGTCTCAAATATTTACTTTAAAAAAGAATTGTTATAAAACTTATAACTATTGTTTTATTATGTATATAAATTTCATTTTAAATAGTATTAAAAGATTTCAACTGTACTCTCTGCCCTATTTAGGGTAATTACTATGTTTATCATTTTTTCTAAATGAAATAAATGTAGGTACAAATATAAATATAGTAACAATTTTGATGTTTTTCATATAAAATACTTACTAAAGCATTTTGTGAAATAGTTAGCAGTGTTTATATCATCTTTGTTTGAATTTCCGTCTTCTGTAATCAATATTACACCAACCGTATACATTGTTGCTGCTTCTAAATTGCTTATTTTGTCTTTAAGAAGAAAAGTATTTATGGGTTTTATTGGCGAATACTGGAAATCTAATTCACTTGAAATTGGCTAATATAAAAAATTATAAAACTTATTACATTTAACCATAGTTTATGATGTTAAACAAAAAAAAATGTGGCTTTTGATTAAAACAAAACTAAGAATATTAGACAAAACTTTAACTCAATTATTTTAAATCACAATTTTGACAGTATTTATCATTACTAATTGACAGTAATATGTAAAAGACTTGTATGAAAGACTTTTTAAATTTACCAAAAATTTANTTGTATGAAAGACTTTTCAAATTTACCAAAAATTTAATTAATTACCTTGTAAACTATCTGATAAAAAGACGGAATTTTACTTTTGCTTCCAAAGATATTTTCATTCAATAAATTTAAAACTAAATTTATTGAATGAAAATCTGAAAAATCTAATTTAGGCGGTTCGATTAGAACTGGGTATTCTGTAATAATGTAAACGAAATTGTTATAAATAATAATCCGCAAAACTTCATCAAGTAATTAAAATTTACAATTACTTTCAATACAATACGGCATAATAAAATTATTTTTACATCCTCCTTTACAAGTTCCTAAAATATTATCGCATTGAGTTTTACAATTGTTTGAACATATTTTTTGACATCCGTGACCGTAAGTTCCTTCAGGACATTCTATACGATTTTTCAATGTTTTCAGTTTTTTAATTATGAAAAATGCTTCAAATTATATACAAACCTTGATTGCATAAAGGTCCAGTATATCCAGCTGCACATGAACATCTATGATTATTTGTGCAGAACAACATATTCTGACAAAAAGTCTTCTTTTGTGAACACCAAGCAGTACAATCAGCACCATATTTATTTTTGCCGCATTCTTCAAACACAATTTTATATAAAATAATTTTTGAACTATTTTAAATGCCTATGGTCATAATTACCTTTAGGTGAATAGGTACTGGCAGCCATTTCTCGAGTGATACCTATTTAAAATTTAACAAAAAAAAAATATTACTTGAAAAAGAAACTTACATCCATAGCAATTTTTTTTTTTTTAATATTATTATATTATTATTTTTATAATGTTATATAATTTTATATTGATCTTATAAAAATGTTTTTGTAACGGTATATTAACATTATTTTTTAAAATTGCTATCTGGAAAAAGAATCATTTATTTCTTATTAAAATTATATTTTATTTATTTACTTGGATATATATTTACAATAGAAGTTGACCTAATTATTTCTGTGTCGTGTATTTCATATACATCTTCTACTTCTAAGTAAATAAAAATTAATTACTTGGTTATATGAAGCATGATTTAACAATTAAAATATTTATAATTTATCAAATTTGAGTGACATTATATACTTACTGCCGGAATCTGTACATTGAGCTATTCGTTTTATGCCAAGTGCTGAATAACTATCGTATTTGTCATTAGTAATAGTTAAGTAATATTTTTTATTTTTTTCAAATGGTCTATTAAATTTCATTATCAATGTTTTAAATTCATCATCCTAAAAAGTAGTTCAATTAATATTAGATGTATTATTTATAATCAATGTTTTAGATTATAATTTGTCTAAACAAAAAAAAATTTAGGGTAATCTTTATGATACGGTTTAATAGTATTTAATATAAGTTGAAACATCTCGTTAAAACGATCACATACATTTACTTAACAATTTAAAAAGCTAACACAGTTTTAAGTAAGCAATTGTTGAAATAATTGGTATATTTGATATTTTTATCGTTATCCGAACTTTCTGAATATTTAATTGGAATGAGAAAATGTAATACTTTAAGGTTATTATACAAACTAATTAGCAAACTATGTCTCACGCAGAAGTATAAAAAAAATAATTTCTTTTTTTTCAAAAGTATCCTACACACTTTAATTAACACGAAAAATATAGTTTTATCTCCTTTAAAATTATATTCACTTTAGTTTTTAAACAGAAACCTACATATTTAATTGGCTCAAGAGCATCCATAAGATATCTTTCAGTAAGAGACAAAGAAATTATTTATTTTTTGCTTGTCATTTTAATTAAACATTTTTTAGGGTATTTCAATGAAAAAAAAAATCCAACACAGAGGTGACATGGCATAGTTAGGACAAGTAATATCTGACAGTGATTAAAATCACTATCATAAAAAACTCTTGCAAATCTGTGGCGTTTAATTTTTAGAAGGAGTTATTAAATTAATCCAAAAGCAACAAGAGCTCCTATTTCATAATTTATATTCTGATTTATAAGTATAATATATAAATAATGACACGTCGCAATAATGTAGTCGACACTGGTTTTGATGGTTGAGACCTGTAAACTGTTAGTTAATGATGAGCAACAACAGGTTATTTAAAAAAACAAACACAATATATAAAATCTTCGCATAATATCGCGGCACTTTTACTGAATTCGGTGATGCGGTTTACGGCATGGTCCTCGGACGTCAAAAAGTTAGCAGTGCTGATGGTTCGTCAAGTCCAGTCGTGCGACACGTCCGCTGTCAATGGGGTACATCCTCGACGTCGTCACTTTAACGACAGGAACAGGACTCAATATATAATCTGTGGTGGGTCGTTGTCGGCACTTGCTGGACTTAGCACCGTGGCGTTGGCACGCGCTGTTAGTCAGTTAAACTACCAGATACCTATAGGTAGGGGGATGGTTAAGAAAGGTGGCATGGGGCACCGTGTGTCACGAAGCGACGCGTGATGTCGACTCCGTGTTCGATGGGAGGAGTGGTGGTGTCAGCCTCTGTTTCGTGGGCTGGCACTAGTAAAATGGATGTGCAGACGGTTCTCGCTTGGCGGTCGAGTGTTAATATGATGTATGTTTGATAAGCTTTGTGCGTGCCACCGTGCCATTAAAAACCGCAGCATATTTTTACAAATTTTGTGTTAATAATTCGCGCGTATGTGGGTCGCATTACCTGGATGAATTGTACATGCAGCATAATCCCAACAGACTTCCTGATCCATCAGAGAATCATGTCCTAGAAATGCGCCACATTGCAGATTATTCAAGATCACGGCCGTAAAATTAATCGTCAGATCTGCGATGTGGGCGGTAAAAGTAGCGGTGGTGGGTGTTGTGTGGCCGTAAGCTAGTCGAACCGCGTGTTAGTGTGGGTCCTTTGTTCACTATTCCGTGTTTATGTGGTTGTATAAGACTTTTGCGCTTGTGAGTCAAGTAATGCCGTCACAAGGCCGTTGTTAAATTCAATTTACACGGCGGGTGTAGTAATTTTAGGTGGGCCTATTTGTTTAGCAAATCTCGGGTGGTTTAAGGGGAGTGTGTGTAATTTTACGGAGGGATAATAAAAATGTATAAGTATACAGAGTGATTTTTCAAATATTATCCACTCTCGCTTTAGTCATGTATGCTTTTTATCTTACTGTATTTTTTAGCATAAATTCTCCTAATGATGTGTCATCTTGATATATTTTTATAAAAGAAGTTGCCATTGGTGAGTTGTATTGATCCACATCTTTAAAATACGTCATTGATATACACCCTGTCACCGTTTCATCTTGAATCCAATCGATTTTAAATGATATTTCATTGTTAGAGTTCATAAAATTTAATGAATTACCCACTGCTAATTTATCTGTATATCCATCTATTTCAAAAAAAAAAACATTTTGTTTTCATTATAGCATTAATAACAATATATAATTTTTATTTTAAGAAGCAAATAATTTTTTTTAGCATTTATTTGATCAGATATTAATTATTGTATGATAATACTGTTCATATTATGGTCAATGGCGCAACTAGAGCAAAAATCTTAAGGGTGTCAACATTTTTAAAACAAATTACTTCTCTTTATTTAGTACTACTGTTGACTATCGCACTTAGACAGTTGATTAAATACGTAGAACGTTTTCGTTTTAAAGTTGTAGAATTGTACAAAATATCTGCATTAGATTTATCAAGTGGATATTGGCTAGTAGCATTTATGAAACAGATAACACGCACAAACATATCATTCTCTATCAAAACATAAAAATATTAAACGCCGTTGGCGTTTAACATTTCTCCGCTTACGTTGTTTATACCTGTAGCTTCGTTGTATTTTAGCTCATTTCAATTAACATTAAGTTAATTCACATCAAATTAGGTAACTTTATTAATCGAAAAATAAGTACAATATTAAAAATTTTACTTTGATTACTTTTAGTAACATGTTTTTTTTTTCAATTTATCAACCATAAAGTATTTTTCGTGTTTGACCAGACATTTTCTATTTTATGAGCTGGTTAAATATGTAGGTTGTTATTTGGATAAATAAAGTTATCACTTTTTGTAATGTATAAAAGATGAATATGAAAATTACATCATGATTGATAAATTCAGAAAAACTTGAAACTAAAAGATACCAAACGTAAAATTCTTAATAATTCATTTTTCGATTAATTAAGTGCCAGTATAAAAATATTCATAGGTTTCCATTTAACTTTCAATATTTATGCGTAAAAGATACACTTAAAAAGAGTTTTTTTTTTTCAATATAATTAGTGTTCGCGCCAAGTGTGAGTGCTGCAGGGGTTGGGTGTGTGTCAGCTGGTAGTGCTTGTGCGCTATCAGCTGTTATGATGCCTTATCTGCGGCCCGTGTTGTTCGGTCGTTTTTTTTATTCAAAATGTACTGTGTACCTGTTTTATTATTATACAGTTTAGTTTTAAGTTACATTAGTTTTCATTTGAATCAATTGTTGTTTTCGTATTAATCAGTAAAAACTTTGCTCAATTTTCGATTTAAAATATATTGTTCATATTATTATTGTAAATTCATATAGTTGTATTCTGTTTTCTTTTTTATTGGTTAGAACATTGTTATAGTAAAGCTACATGTGGCATATCACCTTTATAAATGGTAGTGCATTTTATTCAAGTTATTCAAGTAAAATGAAAAACTGAATGTAAGTAATATGGGTGTTTATATTTATTAATTATTTAATTCAGCAATAATAAAAATTGGTGTTGTTATTTAAATTATTTCGTTATATTTATTAAGTTAAACAATCCTATTTTGGATAAACAAAAAATATTTTTCATTTAACAAATTCTAAATTGAATTAGAAATTTTTGTTGATTATTAGTTGCCCCTATTTTAAGCCGTACGGCCAAGTTCTGTTCCCCATTTATATTTGGGATTTTTTAGAACAGCCCAGGCGGCAACAATTAGTATTTAATATAGTTAATCAGAATAAATAAAAAATGATTCAATTTTATTTCAAAAAAAATCATAATTTGACAAAAAAAATGAGTGTACTATTCTTAATAACTCTCACTAAACAGGTTGATTGATTTATCGTTGACCATTAAATTTCTCCTAAAATAATAATAGTTTTGAGAATTATTTATTTAATGATGTATATTTAATTAAATATTTTTAGGTCCATCCCTTATCCCCTATAAGGGTAATAAATGTTATTAACTCAAATTTTCATAAACTTTATAATGATACAGACTATTTACTACTAACTATTAATAAGATATTTTTTCATCAACATTTTTCTTAAAATCTACTCTACAAAATAGTTATCTTAGATGTTTTTATATTTTATTTAAAATTTTAAAATAATTAATATTTTTAATAAAATATAAAAATATTAATTATTGAGATGTATTTATAGACGTAAAACTGTTATTTAAAAATAAATCTGTAAAAAATATTGACTAGATCAAAAGTTTTTTAAGTTGTCAGTGAATGCTGAGCCACTATGTATATTCTTATGTTTGTTTACCAAGGTTTGTTTAATTGTTGATTATGTTGTTTGTGTGTGTTCTTTTTATCTCGCCTTTATCCCAACTACTTGTGGTTGGCTATTCATATTTGAAACTTCCACTTGACACGATCTTCCACATCAGCCGTCCTTATTTCGCATTTAATAACATCCCTCCATTTATGAAACCGTAGGTTTTTCATTATCTATCTTTAATTTTAGTGTAACATTGATTCGTGATTGAATTGCCATCGCCTATCTATCTCCGATAACTCAGTTGAACAGTTATTTATCCGAATTAGCGATAAATATACATCTATAGTTATTGGTGCTGTTTATATTCCGCCTGCCTCTGATATTAATGTTTATGATTTACACTTTAGTACTATCGATGTTTTGTTAAATACAAATAGTAGTTCAAAATTTCTAATTTTTGGTGATTACAATCTACCAAATATTAATTGGCAATCTGTTAATGGTTCAATTGTCGCTGTGGGTGCTCGTGCTGGTTCTATTGAATCTAAAGTATTAGCTCATTTATCTTATTTAAATTTAATGCAATTTAATTTAATATATAATCGCTCTGGGTCATTGCTTGATCTCGTTTTTTCTAACGGGTTTGATATTAAAGTAGTTAATGAAAATCACACGTTACTACCAATAGATTCGATGTACCATCCAGCCCTAACAATTGAATTACCTAAATTATCATTTAAGTACTTAAATTATAATGAACATATGTATGATTTTGTTAACTGTGATTATAATTGTATTAGGTCTAATATTGCTTCGCTTGACTGGAATGGCATATTTAATGGTCTAGATATAAATGATGCAGTAAATGCATTCTATGAAAACGTTTTTAAAATAATTAATACTTATTGCCCGGTTAAAACTTTATACTTTTCAAAGCACCCTCATTGGTTCAGCCATACGTTGAAGAAACTAATTTTTGATAAAAAAATAGCTCATAAAATATATAAACAATCGCCAACTCCACATAATTATAACACATTTTCTAATTTACGTGCACGCTGTAAAGTTCAAAATAAAATAGATTATAATATTTTTATCCAAAAAACTCAAAATTCTATTACTAGGAATCCTAAACGTTTTTGGCAATATGTTAATAACAAACGCTCTACTTACTCACTTCCAAATTGTATGTATTATAATAGTTACAATATTTACGGTGGCGATGATATTACAAATTGTTTTGCTCAATTTTTCTCCAATACTTTAAATATACCGTCAGTCTTGCAAACTAATTCATATTCCAACAATACAAATTTTCCTTCTGTTGATCTTAATTCGTGCACGCTAACTCTCAGTGATGTTTATAATGCGCTTAATGAAATAACTTATAAAACTTGTCCTGGTCCTGATAAAATTTCTAATATATTTTTTATGCAATGTAAATTTGTTTTGTCATCTCCCTTACTGATATTATTCAATCGATCTCTCTCCATAGGAGTCTTTCCAGATAAATGGAAAATATCTTATGTCTCCCCTGTTTTTAAAAGTGGAAATATTAACCATATAATAAATTATCGACCTGTCTCTATAATATCTATAATTCCCAAAATATTTGAAGGTATTATTTATAAGAAAATTAGTCCACTCTTTAAAAATTTCATTATTGATGAACAGCATGGTTTTATGTCTGGTAGATCTACTGCATCTAATCTCCTAGTTTTGCAAAATTTTATTTTTAATGCATTTAAATTAAATTGTCAAGTGGACGTAATATTTACAGATTTCGCCAAAGCCTTTGACAAGATTGATCATAGTATACTCGCCAATAAGTTGTTTCAAATTGGTCTCCGCGATCCTTTCTTTTCTTGGCTTATATCCTTTTTATCTGATCGGAAACAATATGTAAAATTTAAGAATTATAACTCATATATGTATAATATTACTTCCGGGGTTCCTCAAGGTTCCCATCTGGCCCCTCTTCTTTTTAACATCTATATTAATGATATTTATGATATCAATTCCAATATATTACTTTTTGCTGATGATGATAAACTATTCCATATTGTTAAAACTCCACTTGACGCCAAATTGCTACAGGATGATCTTGTTAATATAAGTAATTGGTGTGATAAAAATAATTTATACTTGAACATTTCAAAATGTAAAGTTATTACTTTCACTAGAAAACATTTGTCTTTTTTAAATAAATATTTTTTAAATGGTGTTGAGTTAGATCGAGTCAATCTTGTGAAAGATTTGGGTGTATACCTGGACTCTTCTCTTTCATTCAATGACCATTATATCCATATTCAAAATAGAGCTGCCTCAATGTTAGGGTTTATAATGCGAAGTTGTAATAATTTTGATGATCCTCTAGCCCTTAAATCACTATACTGTGCTTTTGTAAGATCAATTTTAGATTATAATTCAGTAATTTGGTCTCCTTATGCGTCTGGTCCAATTCACTCTCTAGAGGCAATTCAAAATCGCTTCTTGAGACTTATAAGTAGTAAATGTAATATTCAACGTTTGCCTCACACTTCATATGAACCATTATTATTATATTTGAACATTGATACTCTTCAAGTCAGAAGGGCAAAACATGACATTTGTTTTTTTTATAAACTTTTAAATGGCTATATTTGCTGTCCAGATTTATTGTCAAATATATCTTTTTTAGTTCCTGGTCATACGACTAGGCAGACTGATACTTTTTATGTGCCATTCCAGCGAACTTTATATAGTAAGAATGCCCCTATAAATAGATTCATGCAACATGTAAATAAATTTAATATCGATGTTTTTATTTGTAATTCAGTTATTTCTTTTAAATCTTATCTTAATAAATTAGTAATTTAATCATAACATAATATTGTACTTCCAAAACAACCATTATCTATGTATATATTTGTATACTCCACATTTTATTGTAATTGGGCTCGCCCGTTTAATGATAAATAAATAAATAAATAAATTAGATTTAATTTTTTAATTCATTTTTACACTCAATTTCTCAAATTTATAACAATAAAAAAATATAATCCCGCATGTGTTCACTATCTCACAGACAATGTTGCATAGACTGAACTGTATTTTTTGACGAATATACAATAATATATATTATACAATCAATTATCTTAAACGTTAATAACTTCTGAAATACTTGTTCAAAATTTGTTATCGAACAGTCATTTACTTAGTCAGATTATTTTTATTATAAAAGTTATTTATATATGTATGTTGCCATTGAAAAAAATTAACACGATATAACTATATATAGCTTTATCATGTTCATTTTTTATTTTTAATATATTTAATTGCTTATAAATCATAAAATAATTATTATTAAACAAAACCAAAAAAAAAAAATGTTTGAATTTTTAATATTTTAAGACCAATTTAGATCAACGATAAATCAAACACTCTGTATAGAAATTAAAACATGCTACAAACATTTTAATTTGAAATATAATGTAGGTACAATTAAATCAATTACATAATTCACCAAAATAAGCTCTCATTTTTAAAAGTTATGCTTTCTTTTTAAGCATGTGAAACCTCAATGAAGTTTATGTTTAGTAAAATTTTTTACCCAACACATTTATAATCATCTCGCCAGATTAAAAAATGGTACCCTTCGTTATATTTATTTTCTGTCGTTATATTTTGATTTTAGGAAATACAAATTATTAACCAGGTAAATACTTTAAATAAATTGTGCTGAATCAGATAATCCACATGATGAAATAAAACAAATTAATTAATTGATAAGAAATATTAATGTAAATTGATGACACAAATACAATTTTTTTAAGTATAAAAAAAATGATTACTTAATTAATTTAACTTACAGTTCCTTCGATTATATATTATACTAGACGAGATGTCGAAAAACATTGATTCGTACTCAACATTGTTTTTTGTATATATACTATTTGGATAAAATGAATCGACAATAAACTCAAGACTTTTTTTTCTTGATTTCAAAATTCGACCATTAAAATATACTGGCAACCCTATAGCATTAGTTCGAGAATGTATTTCTGCATTATTAAAGCATATATAATTTCCTTCGTCAATAATTGAAGTTATATTATTGTCTATTTAAAAAAGTAGACAGCAAAATTAGAATAATTATTACCGAAAAATAAATAACAAACAATTGTAAATTCTTACATGAATCAAAATAACTGCATTTTGCTTTTAATTTGCGTACTAATGTAATATCGTAAGATTCTAAAAAAATAAATTTTTAATAACAAACAAAAAAAATAATTATTAACAATTAAAGTGTTTGTTACAAAAAATTAGTAACTCCATATTAATTAAAAAAGAAAAAAATTATTTGCTTATATTATATTATTGACAATAACTAAAATTATTGAATTGAAAATGAAATTATTGAAAGTGAAACAAACACTGTTATGTATTATACGGAAATATAAAACTTAATTTACTCTTATTATTTGAAAGTACAAAGTTACTTTTTGTTTTACAAACTCTTTAATTGTAATTACACTATAAAGGTAGGTTGTTAATTTGTAAAAAACTTAGAAAAAATATATTTTTTTAATGATTTAATAAAATTAATGTTTGAAAATTACCAATAGAAGTATCAACCAATTCATGAGAAATTAAAAATGAGGTCGATTTGCATATAAGAAAACAATAAATACCCAACAAAACAAAAATGACTTTTCTAAAAAATACATTTTTTNCCAACAAAACAAAAATGACTTTTCTAAAAAATACATTTTTTGAATGCATTTTGTGTATTAAGTGGCTTCCAGTGATGTTTATTTTTAAGCCATAGATCTGTAAATTAAAATAATTTTGAAATTTTGTATAATATATACATTTAAAAGATAATCTAAGAGCTGATTATATACAAAAATGTTTTTTTATCATTTATATATAAATATATATATATATATATATATATATATATAATGTCTCATGTAACATACCAAAAAGTTAAAACTAATTTTTTGAGATGTTTTGTGTTTTTGAACTTCAAAAATGTCGGTTTACATAAGACATCATTAGTGCGCTCATTAGGTTTTGCAAATCATAATTATAATTATGATGTAATCTTTGCCAGGAGGGAAAGGGTCGAAGTTTTCCCAGTAAAAGCGTTTATATGGTGAATCTAAAATTTCTTTTGTTCGGAGCAGACATAAAAACTTTTCTTATGTATATATCCCCCCCCCCAAAAAAAAAACCCTGACTGAGCCATTACTTTACTGAGCCATACCCATAAAACGTAGTGTATGGGGCACATACCCCATTCGCCATGATCTTGCAACGGAACTAGACACCATTAAAATTTTTAATTTGTAATAAGTCTCCTAAAAATTGTTTGAAGTTCACTTATCATCGAAATCAGCAAATTGGTACTTATAACTGTCAGTAATTATAATACCAGTAGATCTCAATACCGGTATTTTTTAGTGTATTGAAAGTACCGCCTGTCATAAACTATAGTTAATCGTGTATGTGCCGGTAGTGTGGTGTGGCACAGTCAATCATTTAGTCGCCATCTTAGCGCTGATGTTTAGCTACGCTGTTTGCCATTGGTTCCCAGATGGCTGACGTCATTAATAATGACACACTCTTGTTCCCATACTGGTTTCTATAGCCATAATGAGGTTGCGTCACATCGACAACCCATGTAAAATTCCGTAAATTGATGAGTCCAGAGCCCAAATAGTGTCGATAGAGACTATGTTAATTGTGATAATGAATTGAATATGTTGCCATTTGAAGTCGAGAACTTTATAAAGTATAAGGAATTAACTTGAAAAATACTTCAATTAAATTATTATTTTAATTTTTCGATTAATTTAATGGTCAATGAAATAAGCACCATTTTGTATGTTTTGCTCTGTAGATACATAATGTTAATACGCTTATAATTTAAAGAGATGTTACATAAAAGTAGTTAATAAGTCATAAATAATAAAATATACAAAGTTGTTGAAAGTATGATTTACTTTATGTATTTTAAAAAATTAATGAACTCTAGCAACAATGTCTACAAATAAATATAAAAATGCCGCACAAAAGTATTTCACGAGGGGGACAATAAAATTGCCTAAAATAACATTTATTTTTTTATATTTATAAAAATTTAATAAATAAGACAATTACTATCATAATATTTAATAACAACATTACTTTATTTGCTATTTTTAGAATATTATATTATAAAAACGTATTACTATAATAAATTGTCACCGGCATGTAACAACTTACCCCACTTCGAGAAAAGTTGTTACATTTTGATTNTAACAACTTACCCCACTTCGAGAAAAGTTGTTACATTTTGATTTGCTGAAATTAAACATATTGTTTGGTGCATAAACTACAAACACATTGAATAATCTATAATTTTATGAAAGCTTAGAATCTATAAATATATATTAATTTATAACAATTTTGGGTAATTGTTGAAGAAAAATTACAAAAAATAAAAATTGTAACAACTAGCTCCGTTTTTATCTATAGGAAATATTATAACAATTGAATGACATAATTTAGATTTATTTACGTTCAAGTAAATAGCATTATAATCACACTAATCATCGAGCGCATTTAAACAGTTCCGATAAAGAAATGTATCATCCAAAAAGATGTAAAGATTTGACAATGAGAACAATTTTAAGATCATCGGCAAATAAACTATATTCTCATGGTTAGAAATAACAAGATCCAGAGTCAATAACTTAGCTGCCAAAAGTGTCCTAAAGATCATACAGTCTCTGACTAAACATAACATTTTTTCTTATTAAAAACTGTTCTTTCGGATGTTTTAAAATATGTACATTTCATTTTTTCCATTTAAATGGAACTTGACACTTATCGTTCAATTTAAATATTATTCATAAAAATGATTTAAGTTTAACTAAGACAACCAAATTAGCTCAGTCGGTAACGCGTTGGTGCATTAGTATTAAAGTTCGATATCAGCGTTGCGCTAGGCTAAGTATGATTTTCCGTCTTCTTTGGCACAACTAATTGCCTTTAGAGAGGGCGATAAACATAAATTATAAGCTCACAAAAAATTATAAATATTAGAACGATATTTAAATTAAAATTCATAAATTTATATCTCTGTTTTTTTACCATAGAAACAAAATATTTTTTTTTTAATTATAATTTATGATTTAATGTAAACATATTGTTTGAATATATTATAATTAAAATTATGTTGGGTTAACTATACGATATAATATTGATAATTTATTATTGATTATTTTATTATTTATTATATTTATTATTGATCATTGAAATTTATAATACAAAAGTTATGTGCTAACTTTTCTCTGATTTCATAAAAACTAAGAAGTTATTAATTCAAAGATTTTTGGTAAGTAGGTATGATAAGGGAAAACAAATGAAATTTATAATACAAAAGTTATGTGTTAACTTTTCTCTGATTTCATAAAAACTAAGAAGTTATTAATTCAAAGATTTTCGGTAAGTAGGTATAATAAGGAAAAAAAAATTAAAGTTTACTGACACGTACGTTATGTGACCTAAACCAACTAAAGTTCATCTTATTTATTATTTACTTATCTAGTACATTAGTCGGATAGTTATAAGATAGTTTGTATGTAAGGTTTATATAAAAGATTAAATTTTCTATGTATTCTTATTCGAGTTTACATAACTACATATTTATAAGTATTAAGAAAAAAACAGAAATATAAAAAAGCAATAATGTATCGACACATACCTTCGTGGATTTGACGTGATTTCGCNGAAATATAAAAAAGCAATAATGTATCGACACATACCTTCGTGGATTTGACGTGATTTCGATGAGCAGTAATTGCGATACTGAATAATTAAGCGTAGAACTATAAAAAATATAATATTAGTTATTTTAGTTATTAAAATGTGATTAGACCACGATTATCTATACTAGTAGATAACCGTAGATTAGACCAAAGTGTATATGGTATTAATAAGTCGGACATTGAAGTCATTAACTATTTAAATTAATATGTAAGGGATAACCTTTGTTGCTTGATTTATTATGTTGTTTTCAATTAAATTGTCTTTTCATGAATTTTTATGATATTCTATTATATTTTATTAACGAACATTATTAGTTGTTTTCAATGCACAATGTTCTATTTTTATCTTCCATCAGTAACTGAAACAGTAATGGTTTTATTAAGATGTGTTTAAAATTTTGTTGGGTACAAAATATTGGAAATACCTGGCAACGGTATTTCGTTTTGACAAAGTTCACAGAAATCTCTGTATTGTACTTTGCGCTAGACGTCGTGTCCGTCACCAAGGCCGTTGACGAGACACACACACACCCCATAAGTATTTTACCACCGCTGTCCTTTCATCA